TTCAAACGATTTGTATTAAAAATTCGTTAAGGTTGGCTCTACTGCTTCAATGAAAGAGAAGTTTTTCCGAATTTAATAAACTTTATATTATCATCAACATAGTCATAAACTTTGGCAAATAGAGCTGTTACTAGAACGTTTTATTGTGTTCTTTAGGAACTCGTGGTGGGCTTCATTCAAAGGCTTCGATATGTTCTAGTTTTCGTATAGTTCGAACTCCACGTTTGAACTTGAAATGAAGATCGTTTGATTTGTTAAAATCAGATTCTTTTTAAAAATTTATATAAAACGGGCTTCAAATTAGGAATGTAATGCGGACGCTCTATCGAGGTTAATATAAAAAAAAAATAAGCAATCGTGAAGTCATAAACATGCCAATCATCAGCGTTCAGCATAAATTTTCAGAATAAAGTGGGACGACATCTACTTCACATAAAACTAAAGATGAAGCTTCCTCAATTTCGTTCTATGTGTACATAATAAATATTTAATGAACTTGTAATAAACTAATTTTAGTATATGCATTTAAATATAGATTTCTATATTATACATTGAATTTTTGTGCTCAACTGTTTACAATAAGTAAAGACAATTAACTAACAGATAAATTGAAAGTAGCTTCGGTATGTCGAGTTTAGAATTAGTTGCTTCAGTGCTATTATCAAAATTGATAACATTAGTCATTAGTAAAGAATGCTTTAAGTGTGCAAATAGATAAATATATGGTATTTTAACATATTTACATTCCACCAGTGGTGTTGAAAAACTAACTTTCCACTGTTTTTATCCAAATTAAATCAACTGTAAATTCTGATCAAGCTGGGCGAAAACAAAATTCTAGTATACTTGGAATACTAAAAAAATTAGATTAGAAAAGCAGCTTAGAAAACGATTAATAGAGGAAAGACAGACATGAAGAGAAACGCACCGCGTTTCGGCCTGATAGATAAACACAGGATCATATATACATCCTCAGAGCCATAATAGAGAAAACAGTAGACAGAAATAAGTAGCCTTCCTGGACTTAAAAGCAGCTTTCGACCAGGTACCGAGAACAAATTATATGGAATGCATTAAGTGAGCTGGGGACAAGTTTAAAACTACGAAGAGTGATTAAAAGTATATACACAAAAGTAAAAGCAACAGTTAGACTGAATGGAAAGACATCGGATGAGTAAACAGGGTGACAGTCTAAGCTTACTACTATTCATAAACCGAAACGATTTTGGAAAGGTGTTAGTTGAGTGACTTCAACCGAAATAATTAAAATTTAAGACTAGCTGGATTACAGCAAATTCAAAAAGATCATGCCTTCACTTACATCATGCAGTGATACAAATTTAGCAACTTATTGTTTATTATATTTATTGTACGCAAAAGTAAAGAAGTATTTGTGGTGTGCAAGCAATGCTTTGAGAAAGTGTTTGAAATCTTTCCAAAATATATTTTATTGATTGCGAGAAAAATAAAGAAAGGGGAAACTTTCATGGCAACAGTGGTGGCGACAGAGGGTCTGAAGCGATAAAGGAAAATTTAAAGAATAAGATAGTCATAATAGTTGAGATTTGGTTCACTAGTAACTGATATATGCAGCTATTAACAAAATTCACAAAACAACGATCTTTTACGAGACCTAAAAGTTTATAAAATTAAAGCTAAACAAATTTTACATGTTGCTGCATGAACTGAATCAAATTACAAAACGTATTGTAGCAGGTTCCATAAAACCTTGTATTCACTTCAAATTGCATTTTACTTTTTGTATGTCATCGACATTGTTACAAAAGATTCTTATTTTTTTTGTATGGATTGAAGATAGTGAATGGAGGTCGTGGTTGCAATTTTCTTAGAAAGACTTAATTTGATGAAAAAAATATATTTGGGTGTGTTGAAAAAAATGCGACCTCAACATGACAGCAACGAACTAAACAAAATCGTCACTATTAAAAAACGTTGAGCAAAACTTTAAAAAATATAACTATCGAAAAACCGAAATTATAGATTAATGCAGGGCAGTTAACAAACTTTTAAAAGCTGCAGTTGGAAAACAGTAGACTATAGATCTAAACTTAACTGACAATGTTACTGAGCCTGAAAAAGAAAAGAACTGTGACTGTCTTTAGGAAGAGACAAAACTAAAAAAGAGACTTGTTATATTTTGAAGACATAGCTCCTTATATTATACCAATGTCAGGCAATATAGATGTGTCGATAAAGAAACATCCAAATATGGTAAACTTGTCTAGAAGAGAAGGGAATGATAATAAACAGGAACAAAAGTATGATCCAACAACATCACAAATGAAGAAGGAAGGACTAGAAAGTGTGCAAGATAGATCTAGCAATATACAACAGAAAGCAAAAACAAGTGGAGTCTATTAGCAGATAAATAGTACCCTGATAGACAACAAAGTACTAAGTATTAAAGCAAAATTATATCTATACAAAACTATCTCACACTCACCTACAGGTCAGAAACTTGAACAATGTTAGATATTTACTGTTCCAATCCATAAAGCAAGGGAAAGTCAAAAAACAGGACTTGGCAGAAGAAGAATCTCGTGGCTGCAAAATCTTAGAAGTTGATTTCGGAAAATCTCAACACAATTGTTTCGAGTTGTTATCAATAAAATCATAATTGCCAACATTCGAATTGGATAGGCATGTCAAGAACAAGAAGAAAAGGTGGTAGAAGAGAAACAGATGAAATGGTATGGAACCTGGTTCAAATGGATGAGGAAAGAATATATAAGGAAGTAGAAGGCGCGATGGTAGACCAAGAATCTAGTGGGAAGAAGTGATTACAACTAAAATAAGTTGGTGAGCTCCAACATTTAATTGAAATCTTTATCAGATTCTATTCTTCAAACAGAAAGCAACTCAAATCAATTAATATACAGTAACTGGGATACAAACAAAACTTTAAGAATAACAAGTTCTAAACATACTATTTGTTGCACATTTTTGTTTCTTCATTTCTTCTATCATAACCAACAGGTTAAAATCACTAAATATATAAGGGACATTTTTCCCATTTTCCTGTTAAGCTAACCAGAAGATTGTTGCTAACTAACAGCTTGATCTTTTGGAAAACAAATTCATTTTTCAGTATAAACTAGATTCTCGTGTTATTTTTACAATTATCATCAACATATTTTTTCGCAAAAATGTATTTAATCTTATTTCTATAATCAGTCATATTAAGATCTAGTATACCTATTTTTCCAGGAATACCTGACATTCACTATGCTCGTAAATAGACTAAAATTCAATGATGGTATGCTTGTTTTATATTTGATTTTATATAAGTCATGACCATATTAGTACCATCACACCTGCATTAATAATAACTATTAATATATTATTCTTTTTTTATTATTCTTTTGAATAATAAAACAGAGGTTGCTTGTGGCCGAGGCTTGGTGATTATATGAACGTAAGACTAGTCATATTAAGATAGATATCATATTAAGATCAATATATATAACTGATGTTAATTGGTATATAAATCATTGAAAATTGTATAGCTTTGTATCAATACAGCATCGATATAGTGTCTCGACAACAAACATATCCTTGAAAATTGTGTAGTTTTGTATCGATACAATATTGATACAAAACTACACAATTAATTATTGCCATTGTCTTATTGATTTTATAAGACAATGGCAAAACCGACCCTGATGTATGGCAGCGAAGCATGGGTGTCAAGGAAAAAGGAGCTAAGCAAGGTAGAGTCCGCGGAAATGAAGTTTCTAAGAACGACCAAGAGCTGTAACAGATTGGATCATATCAGACACGACGATATTAGAGAGGAACCTGAAATTTTCACAGTTAACGATAAAACCAAAGAATACAAAGAGAAATGGATGGACCACGTGCAGAGAATGCAGCATGACAGAATACCAAAATTGGCACTGCAGTATAAACGAAGAGGACGACGATCAGTGGGGTGCTCAAGAAAGAGGTGGTTTGAAAGATAGGTATAGGTCAATAAGGCCTAAACCGTTAAGTAGACGACGACGTCCTTGAAAATTGTATAGATTTGTATCAATATAGCATTTATGTAGCGCCTCGGCCGCAAGCTACCTCGGACGTTGTCGTAGGTTTAACAAAATCATTGTTATTATCTCTTCAACAGCCATAACCAATTTCTTAAGATTAAAATTAAACTTATGTGAAGCCAATTAAAATTTATACTGAAGATCTATATAGAGTAAACAAAGTGGATGTTTGGACAAGAAAATCTTATCAACCTAGGTTGGGACGGAAAAGTTAAAGTTGTATTCAGAAATGTTCAACAAGCTAGATTAAGAAATGTTTAACAAAAGTTTATCAAATTTTTCTTTATATTTCTTTGCTATGTTCTATTAATGATTAGTTTGATTGAAAGATTGCTCTTTCTCTCTTATGTTATGACTCGTGTTTCTATTCATAAAATAGTCCTTCAATCGACAAATGATATATTTACTCATGACTACAATAACATTGTAATTGTGTTATACTTACATAAATGAGATAAGGAGACGTTTGTTAAAAATCAAATCTTTCTACTAAAACTACAAAAATTAATCTCAACAAACTTCCAAATATCAAGAATGAAAAGTTTTACTTTCAAAAGATCAAGTAAAAAGAACATAAAAGTTGAAATTTCCTCATAATCGTCATTATAACTCAACAAAAAAAGAAAATGTAATGTTCAAATACATTTTCGATTTATTAGATGTAACTTTACGACCGTGCTGTACAAAAACACAGAGTCGCGAAATCGAAAAGAGAATGGCATTTAGAGTGAAGGAGCGTTGAAGGTGGTCGCGGGGGGAATGAGCGGGGCCCCAGATTAGAAATCTAGTCGGCGGCGGTGAAAGTGTCGGCGAAAAGACGCCATCTTGGTGCTGATTTCGACTTGAATTTTCGAAATTTTATATTTTCGGATTATTTTTAAAATTTTTGATCATAAAGCCTTTTACAAATTTTAATTTTAAAAGTGATAAACTCACCTAGACAACGTCCCTTTTATCATGGGGTTGTATCGCGCATTGTAACCGCCTCCTACCATGACTAATAATCCAACAGGATCTAAAAATGATCCCGCTTAGATCGTCTCCTTCTTCTTCTTCCTCTTCGTTTTCAACCGTTTCGGTTTTTATTAATTCCTTTTCGGTTACAAAAACAACACTACTAACGCACATATTACGATCGTAATCAAACACCTCATCAATAAAAATTTTTTATCAATAATCACAAAATAAATTCGTCTTTTTTTTCACTTTTTTTTAACAACTAAGTAACAATACTGTAAAAATTTTTTTTTAAGGTAATATCCCAAATATCTTCCTTAAAAACACTATTACACAGTAATTTAATAATTAAACTTATAATAATTACGTTCCGAGAGATAAGTTAACTTTGACACACTTTTGTTTCGACGTTCAATTGTTTTATCTTCAATTTTTTTTGGAAATAAATAATTTTTTTGTTGAAGAAATCCGAAAATTTACCGAAAAAGTGTTTTATCGTGCGCGCACAAACTAATAAACACAACGCGGTGAAAACGCGCAACACACGGATGAGAGAAAAAGAGTCCCGTTTAAACAACAACAACACACGGGGCACTATCACTTTGACAGCGCGAGTGTCAAAAGCACGCACACGAACAGGTGTCTGGCCGTGCCCCCCTTCGCCCCACCACGCACACGTCACCATCACTCCAAAAGAGGTTCCGAGTGTGCGCATTGAGCGCCCTTGATAAATTTCAAATACAATTTGCGGATTGAAAGCAAAAAAATCATTTCGAGACGACCTTTCGGGTTAAAACAATGAAATTTTTTTTAAAACGAAGAGTTAAGACTGTATTTTGTGTTGATGTTAAAAAATAAATAGGTTAATTTAAAAAAAAAGATAAAGATTAAAAATTTTAAGTTTGTAAACTTATTTTTGAAGATTAAACGATACATTTCATTATGGTTATGTATAGAAAATATTGAGATTATATTAAAATCGTTAATATTTGCAATTTAAGGAAAATACAGGGTGATTCTCAACCTATACGCATAAACTTGGGGATTTATTCCTCATGAGATGACAAATAATGACTAATTGGTGAAAAAAATTGTAGTAAAAGTTTTTTAGTTTCCTAGACATCCTTGAAATTAACTTTCAAATTAAGAATACATAGAAATTACTTGAAACTACGATGCTGATAAACAACTGCAATTTCAAGCGACACAAGTCCTATTTTGATCTACTATTTCTAAGTACTATTTTGATACTACTATATTTATGTACTAACTTTGTACTACATTAAAAATTTTTGTACTAATCATTTAGTATTTTTTTTCTATATGTTAAAGTGGGGGGTGTAACTGAACGTCCAGTTACACCCCCCCTGCATATACAACCCCCCTTTCAAGATAGATATCAGCATTTGATAGTGCCATAATTTTGTACTATTTATATGCTACATTAAAAATGTTTGTGCTAATCATCCAGTACTTTTTTTATATACAGGGTGATTCACATAAGAACCGACACAGAGCAGGGACATGTAGTGGACAATAAATTAAGATGATTTAACGTAACTTACCTCTATACTAAGTTGTACACCTGGGAAGTTATAGGCCTTCAAAATTGACTCTTAAATTTTTAAAAAGTTCAATATCTTCGTAATAAATTAAGCTAGAAAAACCAAATTTGGTATACGTTATGAGTGTACCAAGGGTATTAATTGGTAGCATATTGAACTTAATTGAGGCATTTCAAAGGGTTGATTAAGGGTAATGGTACCCTAAATTTTGACAGATTTTTTTAACCTTTTGACGGATTTAATACATTGCTACTTCATTTCATGCGGAATTTAATTCTAAAACTTTTCTTACTCTTATTATTTTTTAAAAAACTTTGTCGTTTTCATAAAAAAACTTAAATAACTAAAGACACGTATTTCGTTAATGCTACTTAAAATCATCGAAAATTCAGTAGTCGACTGTGAAATTGTACGTCAAACTTGACAAATAGGTTAGAAAACTTTGTTGTCAAATCATTTTATAACCTAAATAAGAGTAAAAAAAGTTTTAGAATGAAATTCCACATGAAATGAGGTAATAATGTATTAAATTCACCAAAAGGTTAAGAAAATCTGTCAAAATTTAGAGGACCATCACCCTTATTAAATCTTTGAAATGCCTCAATTAGTCTCAACTTACTACCAATTAATACCTTCGGTACACTCGTAACGTATACCAAATTTGGTTTTTCTAGCTTAATGTATTACGAAGATATTCAATGTTTTAAAAATTTAAGACCCAACATTGAAGGCCTATAACTCCTCAGGGGTACAACTTAGTATAGAGATAAATTGCGTTAAATCATCTTAATTTATTGTCCTCTACATGTCCCTGCTCTGTGTCGGTTCTTATGTGAATCACCCTGTATATCAAAGTGGGGGGTGTAGCTGGACGTTCAGTACACCCCCCTTTTAAGATATCAACATTTTGATGGTGCCATCATTTAGTGCTATTTATGTACTAATTTTGTACTACATTAAAAATTTTTGTACTAATCATTTAGTACATTTTTTATATATGTAGTACATACAGGTGTCTCACGTAACTGGTTCGTTAGAACTTTTTTAGGTTCCACTATTCGTACAGTTTTAAAATTTTGGTAGCATGGGTTTCTTATTAGGAACTTTCGATCTAAAATATTTTCGAGATGGCTGTCACTTCCGGTCTACCGGAAGTAGACTTAAACTTCGTTAATTTAATTGGCATGCTATAGTTTTTATTACACGTTTTAATTGTACGTCAAAAAATATGTTGACTTTCATAAAAGTTATTGATACCTAGCGTTTTTCGTTTTCGAGTTATTTTGATTTTTAGTCCTTTTTGACAAATTTCACCATGCTCTTTAAAATCCCATATCTCAGCCAACGTTCATTCAAAAGAGCTCTAGATTGGCACGATTACTCTTCAGATATTGTCAAATAGATTGTCATTTGTTTTATCGGAGTATCTTATACAGGCTGGTCAAAAATTGAATTACTGTTTCTCTACATTCAATGGCGAGAAAATAGAAAATTTTAAATGGAACGGCCCTTATTTTTTTAGAACATCAGAAAGGGAATTTAATTCTCTACAAGTAATCTATAAACAATCCTATACCTATTTATTGTAGTTTCCGTCATATTGTTAAATTTATCAAAACATGCACTGCAAGCAGATTTTTTTATTAAGAAAACCGTGGATTTTTGACAGTTTTTGGTCCATGTTTGTATTATTGTTGTCATTAGTTACATTTGACGGCTGGTGTAAGTCATTGAACATCATGGCAAATTATTCCAACGCCGATATTTAAAATTAATTTTGTATTAATGGCTAAAGTAGTAAACTTTTGAACAAGACGTGTCGAACACTTAATGACACTTAAGATTTTCTTAATTGTGGATATATCGAGACCAAAAGAAACAAAACAAATATAATAAATATTTTATAGTATTTTATTGCATATCCAAATTAAATTTAATAAAAAATTTATATAGTTTTTTGTTTTCGTTCTTTCATTTATTTAATCTTCTGTTTGTAATTTTTGGTAAATAAAAGCTAGTAAACTAAAAGATTATCAATCGTAGTTAATAGTACAAATAATAATAGAAATAAATTAAACGAAAAACTGTCAAAATGTCATGGCTTTTCGGAATGTTTATAGATAATTTGTAGAGAATTAAATTTCCTTTCGGGTAGACTAATAAAATATAGTACGTTCCATTTAAAATCTTCGACTTTCTCGCCATTGAATATGGAGAAACGGTAATTTAATTTTTGACCAGATAACAAATGACAATCTATTTGACAGCATCCGAAAAGTAATCGTGCCAATTTAGAGCTTTTTTGAATGAACGCTGGCTAGGATATGGGGGTTTAAAGAGCATGGTGAAATTTGCAAAAAAAAACTTAAAATCAAAATAACTCGAAAACGAAAAACGCTAGCTATTAATAACTTTTATGAAAGTAAACATATTTTTTACGTACAATTAAAAAGTGTAATGAAAACTATAGCATTCCATTTCAAATAACGAATTTTAAGTCTACTTCCGGTAGACCGGAAATGACAGCCATCTTGAAAATGTTTTAGATCGAAAGTTCTGAATAAACAACCCATGCTACCAAAATTTTGCTACCAAACAGTACGAATAGTGGAACCTAAAAAAGTTCTAACGAACCAGTTACGTGAGACACCTGTATGTATTACATATATAAAATAAATACTAAATGATTAGTACCAAAAATTTTAATGTAGTACAAAATTAGTACATAAATAGCACAAAATTATAGCACTATCAAAATGCTGATATCTTAAAAGGGGGGTGTAACTGGACGTCCAGCTACACCCCCCATTTTAATATACATAAAAAATATACTAAATGATTAGTACAAAAATTTTTGATGTAGTACAAAATTAGTACATTAATAGTACATAATTATAGTAGCTGTACGGACCTAAGCGACACACATATCCGACGAGGCTTGGGCAAAATGGAGGAGCAGTTAGACCTTTTCACATGGTTAATGTCGAGAAAGNTGACCGAGGCATCAAATGAAATGGTTTGATGAATACTATGGTTCATGCTACAAATAAATTTTTTTCAAGGCCATCTTCAATTTTAAGCGATTATTAACTTTTGTTTTTCAAATTGCTCCATATATTTTTCTTCACGTCACTAGATAGAGATTGTTTTTCTGAATCCATTGATGTACATTACATCCATTTTGAATGTAATTTTAGCACAAAAAAGACACTTGTATATACAGGTTGTCGCACAAGAACGCCGCAAGCTATAACTCTGTCATTTACCTTCCGATTTTATGAACGACGCATCAAATGAAATGATTTGATGAATGCTATGATTCATGCTACAAATAAACTTTTTCCAACGCCATCTTCAATTTCAAGTGATTATCAACTTTTGATTTTCAAATTGCTCGGTATGTTTTTCTTCGCGTTATGAGATAGAGATTTTTTTCTGAACTCATTGATGTACAATACATTAACATTAATTGTAATTTTAGCAGAGAAAAACAATTAAAACATTTTCCGAACATTGTGTAATACTGCAGTGTGCCATGGAAAAAAATAACACGCAAAATTGATAACAGTCATTAAATGCTATTTAAATGCTCGAAGCAGTTGTAAATGATACTTATAAGTTTGTTTTTTTATTTATCCCATGGCACACTACAGTATAACACAAGTGACTTTAAGGGAAACTATTTTAATGTTTTTCTATGCTACAATTACAATTAATGTTGATGTATTGTACATTAATGGGTTCAGAAAAAGAATCTATATACAATAGCGTGAAGAAAAATATACCAAGCAATTTGAAAATCAAAAGTTGATAATCGCTAGAAATTGAAGATGGCGTTGGAAAAAGTTTATTTGTAGCATGAATGATAGTATTCATGAAACCTTTTCATTTGATACCTCGCTCGTGAAAATCGGAAGGTAAATGACAGAGTTACAGCTTGCGACACTCTTATGTGACAACCTGTATATACAGGCTGTTTTTTCTCTGCTAAAATTATATTTAAAATGGATGTATTGTACATCAATGGA